TCCGGCAGGTAAAAACCACTGTGGGCGACTTGAAAAAAAGGCTGTCAGGTGCCGTGGCCTAGGTTTCTCACTGAAAATCCTCGTCCCCCGGCGGCACATTTTTTTGAATTTTCTTCCTTTTCAACGCCGTTTTTCGGGGATTTCGGATTTTCTTTGAATTTTTTCGCAATAATATTTGAAAAATAGATAAATTTAAACACATTTTAATGCAATAAAAATTTCTGGTCGGAGTCCCCCTTTAAAATATTCAAATTTTCTGGAAAAAAAAAACTAAAAAAACTGGATATTTTTGTCTGAAACTATATTCAAAGTTTTTCAAAATTTTCAGTCGATTCTTGGATTTTTAAAACTATATTTCGTTTGTTTCAGACATTTTTAAGCTAAAAATATAAAAATTTTCGTTAATTTCACCGATTTTGAGCGGCGATTTTAGCAAATTTTCACCTAGAATTCTGACATTTTTTGTATGATAATAACAATAATGATATGAAGCGATTATAAGAATCAAAGTTTTGAAAAAAGAAAATCAGAAAACAAGAAAAAGAGGGTAATTAAGAGCAATAGGGGTGATTAAAACGAAATTGGTTGACAATTATCCAGGACCATTTCCACGTTGTATCGATCATGACACCGTTTACAGACTCGTTCCACAAGGGTCCGGTTGTCGCGAAGGAATGATCGGGCCTGAAAAAATATTGATTTTGGAAATTTGAAAATTTTGAAAATTTGAATTTTAAAGGGGGACTCCGGTCAATTTTTTTATTGCATCAAAATGTGTTAAAATTTATCTATTTTTCNAATATTATTGCGAAAAAATTCGAAAAAAATCCGAAATCCCCAAAAAACGCCGTTGAAAAGGAAAAAAATTCAAAAAAATGTGCCGCCGAGGGACGAGGATTTTCAGTGAGACCCCTAAGCCACGCGAGCGGCGCGACTTTCTTAGCGTACAATTTTTCCGGATTTTTCTCGCCTTTATCTCCAACAGGTAAAAAACGTTAAAAAACCACTGTCGGCCACTTGAAAATAATGCTCTCAGGCACCGTAGCCTAGGTTTCTCACTGCGCGGGAATTCAAATCCTCGTCCCTCGGCGGCACCTTTTTTGAATTTTTTTCATTTTCAACGGCGTTTTTCGGGGATTTCGGATTTCTTTTAAATTTTTTTGCGATAATATTAGGAAAATAGATAACTTTTAACACATTTTAATGCAATAAAAATTTTTGGTCGGAGTCCCCCTTTAATATTTTTTTTTTGGAAAAATTCGAAATCCAGAATAACCACAATTTTCGAAACTATCAAATATTTTTCAGCCGAATTCTGGAATTTAATGGTCGGTTCTAAAACGTCGCGGTTCCAAAACGTCGTGGTTCCGAAGCGTGGGGTTCTAAAACGTCGTGGTTCTGAAATGTCGCGGTTCTAAAATGTCGCGGTTCTAAAACGTCGCGGTTCTAAAACGTCGCGGTTCTAAAATGTCGCGGTTCTAAAACGTCGTGGTTCTAAAATGTCGCGGTTCTAAAACGTCGTGGTTCTAAAATGTCGCGGTTCTAAAATGTCGCGGTTCTAAAACGTCGTGGTTCCGAAGCGTGGGGTTCTAAGACGTCCCGGAGCCGAATTCTTTAGAAATTCGGAATTTTTCTTTCTGAAAACTTTTCGAACCAGATTTTTTGCCTCAATTTCGATAGTTTTCAGGCATTTCTAGCTCAAATTTTCTCGATTTTTCAACCCTGAAACCCCCCCCCCCCCCAAAAAAGTCCTATTTTCAAACCTCCAAAAAGCTGTGATTCAAATACTCAGCACACGCTTTGATGGTCAACTCGGCGAACGCCGTCTGCTCCTTCACACCGTATCCACCCTCTTCTAGATGCTTCTCGAAGAATTCCAGACAATTCGAAAGTGCCGTGTCCACTGAATTCATCTCATCCGGTTTCATGTATTGACAGAGGGTCACCACCGACTGAAGCACCAATTCCACTTTGTTGATTCGTTTTTCTTCCTGAAAAAAAAAGGAATACCGTAAAACCTGTATTAGAAGGGCCTCTCTAATAGAAGGGCCCTCTCCGGAGGTTTCTTGGAACAATAGAAGGGCCGGCCCTTCTAATACAGGTTTTACGGTGATTTCGAAATTTTCGTGAAGTTAGAAATTTTGGAAATCTGAAAGTTCAGATTCCGAATTTTAGGAACTTTTTTTAAAATTTTCGAAATTTCCCCAACTTTGATTTTTCTGAAATTTCTTTTTTTTTCGAATATTCGATTTTTCTCTGGAATTTCTGAATTTTTCGAAAATTTCGGGTTTTCCGGAATTTGTCAGTTTTTGAAGAAAATTGCATTTTCCAAGCAACGACTCACTTTTAGATCTTTTCTTGACATTGCGCTCAATCGGGATACATAGTTGGCGAGCACTGGGAACTTCCTGAAAAGTCATCGTAGCGGTCCCTGGTGGCCTAACTTTTGCAAGTTGAGTTTTCTAGGCCAACGAATTTTATGACCTAGAAATGACCTGATGGGTTTTCTAGGCCATTTTAACATGCTGACCTAGAAAATTCAACTTGAAAAAGTTAGGTCATCATCTTTTGCTAGTGAGTTTTCTAGTTGCCTTACTTTTGCAAGTTGAATTTTTTAGACCACCAACTTTTATGGCTTATAAATTACCTGATATACCTAGTGGGGTTTCTAGGCCATTTCAACATGGTGGCCTAGAAAATTCAACTTGCAAAAGCTAGGTCGTCATGGTAAAATGGCCTCATACTACCCTGGTATGTTTTCTAGGCCATTCTAACATGGTGGCTCTAAAACCCAACTGGCGAAAGTTATGCCACCATGTGACAATAGCCTATAAAACCAACCAGGCGAATATCAAACCATTTCTAGGTCCTTTTAACATGATAGTCTAGAAAACTTTACCTGAAAAAGTTAGGCCAGCAGGTTGAAATGTCCTAGAAAACACTAAGAAATACCGGTCCCGAAAAGCCGAGACCCTGTTTCCTGGCTCAAAGTTGGCGGCTATAAATTTTACGAAAAAAAATGCTGGCCTAGAATCCCTCAAAATTCCTAAATTTTTAGGCCACCGACACGGATGACTACGACACGCAAATCGTCTCTCTAATCAGTGCGCTCGAAACCCAAGGAGGCACTCGAATCGGCTACCTCTTCGCACGAGCTCTCCT